AGCATTAGCAGAAGCAGTAGCAGTAGTAGTAGTAGTAGTAGTAGTTGTTGTTGTTGTGGTTGTTGTTGTTGTTGTAGCAGAGTAGTAGCAGTGGTAGTAGCATTTCTGGCAGTAGTAACAGTAATAGTATGAGTAGTAGAAGTAGGAGTAGTAGGATTAGTGGTAGTAGTTGTGGTAGTGGTAGAAGCAGTAGTGGTGGTGGTAGTAGTAGTAGTAGTAGAAGTAGTCGTGGTCGTCGTCGTCGTCGTCACCGTCGCGTCGCAGAGGTAGTAGTAGTAGTAGTAGTAGTAGTAGTAGTAGTAGTAGTAGTAGTATAGCAGTAGTAGTAGTAGTAGTAGTAGTAGTAGTGGTGGTAGTAGTAGTAGTAGTAGCAGCAGCAGCAGCAGAAGCAGCAGCAGCGGGAGTAGTAGTAGTAGTCGTCGTCGTCGTCGTAGTAGTAGTAGTAGTTAGTAGTGGTGGTGGTGGTGGTAGTGGCAGTGGTAGTGGTAGTGTTAGTGGTAGTGGTGGTAGTAGTGGTAGTAGTGGTAGTGGTAATCGTGTTGTGGCTGGTGCTGTATGCATGGCATTACTACAAAAGCACGAAGGGCACCAGTCGAGAATGTTTGTGGTGTACTGGTGCTTGGAGACGGTCTTCGCTAAAGACGAAAGCCCTGCAGCTGCGACATGTTGAAGGTCTTCTTGCATTAATTATTTGCGTGACGCCGTCGTAGAGTGCTTTGCATGCTTTTAACACACTTGCATTCAAGGTCAAGGACCAAATGCCAACAGAATCAACCAGCAAGAATACAAGGTAATCTGTCAGGCATCAGCATCCGCGATGAGTGTGATGACATCATCATCATCATTATTATGATCATCAGCAGCATCAGCGCCAACGCCAACAGCAACATCGTCAACACCAGCGCAGACAAGACCAAGAGCAAGAGCAGCAACACCAACAAAAACAGCAAACACAGCAACAACAGCAACGTCAACAAGCAGCAACAGCAGTAACAGCAACAACTGCATCAACCGCAACACCGCAACAACCTCGACAACCCACAAACAACCGCAACAACTGCAGCAACCGCATCAGCAACAACCGCCACAACAGCCCCTACAAGGTCAGCCACAACGACTGCAACGACAACAACACAGCCACAGCAACGGCAACTGCAGCTACATAGTTGCCACTGTAGAAGCAGCCACAACTTGGGCAGTTGAACACACGATTGCAAAAGCTGAGCGAGTGAGGCTGAGCAGACAACCCCAGCGGTGCTCAGCTTCTCCGACACCGTGGTGTCTTTGGCATCCGGGCAGAGACAGTTTGCAGAAGCGACCCAACTTTGCCAGACTACAGCGCAAAGCCATGTCAACTAAACTGAGGGCAACCTCAGCTTCTCCGATCTGGACTTGGATGCCACCGACCTCGGCGGAACTCTCGCTTGGGAGGATCGTTGCTGCTGTCTTATTTTTAATGTGATACACGTTGATGATCAACATCATGCTTGATTCCGCAAGGGGACAAGAAGTAATAAGATCAACTGGACTGCGATGTTGGTGAGGCTTGCGGTGGTGATGATGACTTGGTGATAGTGCAAGTGACGTCCACTACTGTAGCGGCCAAAAAGACATGGGGCCTTGGGCCTAATAGCAAGCAGGTGCTTTGTATTGTTTTGAGAGGTGCTTTGTGTTTTGGCGGTTTGAAGGCTTGATTCGTTAGGCGGGTTGGGATATGGGGTGAAAGTGTAGTACTGGGGGTATAGGATGTGTGTGGAGTTAGCACCCGCCCCCTGAGTCGAAGCTCTCCTCAGCCTTTGAAGGTTTCAGGTGGGCTTCAGGCCAAGTCGCGAGCGCAAGGAACCAGTGCTTCAGCCATATCCTGTGCGTCAGTCTTGAGAAACCCAGCTCTGGCCAACCGTGGTCAGAGTCTTCGGATCTTGGGAGTCTCAGAACATCGTATCATCCACTGGCGAGACAGGAGCCTTCAGATTCCGCCTATGTCACCCACTATGAGGCTGGAGTCGGGGCAGTGTATGCCAGCTGGGATCACAGGGACTCAGCTTCGGGGTTGTGAATTTAGGGCCAGTGAAAGCAGAGCTACTTCCGAACTCCGGTGCAGGTCTACATTGCCAGAGACCTTGCCTCGGAGAGTCCGGCCAGCGTCGCTTTGCTTTGCAGCAGTGCGCCGGAGGACGCTGGGCCAGGGACCAGTGTGCGGAGAGTATAGTGCCGTTAATCGCCGCAACCTTCGGGTGTTTAGCTCCTTGGCGGTAGCATGTTTCAGTGTCTCTGATGTGAGAGTTCGTGCGGGTAGTTCTTGCGAGGACCTGGTGGCGATCCTGAGCGGGAGCCTGTCCGGGGCTGTGTACTGCCTTGTCTCAAGCCCCAAAAGAACGATAAGCCACCAAGATCTTCTGTGGGACACGGGCCCTCCGGCTTTTCTTGGAAGGTCGCTGGTCCTGGAAGGCGCGACGCTAGCAGAGGTCTCTGCAGCAGTCAGGCGCGCAGAGCAGGTCAAGAGAAGTGTCAGAGCAGATCAGGACACCACGGAGGCTGCACAAAGAAAACGCACTAACGGTATCGGAGCGAATGCAAATTCTGGGCGTCGACGACCGCTGGGAGGCGGAAGTAGCAGCACTTGCAGCTGCAGCAGTGGCAGAAGCAGCGGCAGCCGCGCCGGCAGCAGCAGCAGTAGCTGCAGGAGCAGAGTAGCAGTAGCAGCAGCATCAGCCGCCGCCGCGGCGGCAGCAGAGCCAGCAGCAGCAGCAGAAGCAGCAGCAGATCAGCAGCACGAACGAAGTCGATTTTCACAGTCTTCCCCGTTATCATCACCACCATGACCATTGCATAGTCCTCATTACAATCATCGACATTATCACGTTCTTCTTCTTCTTCAAATTCTTCAACATCACAGGTGTAGTTACCAGCACGATCGTCGCCACCACCAGAATCATCATTATCACCACCATCGCCATCGCGATCGCCACTGCCACCCCGCGTGATGTCACCAAACATAGCAAGCTACGAAATTTCTGCGTAGCAACCCTATGAGTCATATAATCATATATGTCTCATCACCCTTCCGTGCAAACTGCTGATGTCGCGCAAGAAAGCCCTGTAGAGCTTTCGGGAGCTGTCGTTTACCAAATCACCTAATGAGTAGTAGGTCAGGTCAAAATCTTGTCCAGGGCCGTAGCTAGTCCTTTCACAATACCAACCCAAAATCCATCATGACAATGTTGCAGCCGTCTGGTTAAGCCAGTTTAATCAACATGGCAACTTGAATTTTGTTTTTACGCGGCCAAGTGAGTCTGCGCAACAGATTCAAGTCTGTTGATGTTAAGCTGTCACCAGGACAGTTCGAAGCTGCTCGTAAATGTCCCAGATTTTGCTGACCACCCAAGTAGAAGTTGTATCTACCGCAAGCTTTGCAAGCCCGCGAAGGACTGTGAAGCAGCTTGTTCAGCTTGGGTAGGACCGATTTTGCACTGAGAGTCCGTGGCCTTGGACGGTCGAAGAGGGGAACAATGAGAAGATACGAGAAGCTATGATAAGTATACGTGTAGGCGAGTCGAGCTTTACACCTGCGCTTCAAAAGTCACCGCACATGCACAGTGGAAACTCAAACAACTCGTGTCGTGGCAGCTCGGGGTGAATCGCAATCCTCCGACCTTATCTATCCGGTCTGCGTGAACCCTTAAGCTCCCAGGCTTGTTACGAATGCCGCCTGTGTGTTTTTGATCGCTCGTCACATGTATATACAGAGGACTGTACCGTTGCAAGTTTACCAGCTCTAAAAGCGGAACTTAACATGTAGACAGCAGAAAGCCTGGACCATCACCGGCTTCCCTTGAGCTGGCCAGGGCAAGCCTCTTGACGGCCCTGGGGCTGGCCGCGCATGAACTCACGATCACCGAGGCGGCTTGTCGTGGCCTGAAACCTTCGATAAATCTTCGATGCAAGAATTGTTGTTAAGATCGTTCCACCAGCTTCTTGTTATCCATTGTTTTGGGCTGGTTTCAGGTTTGGAATGCTGATAACCTCGTGAATTCACGCTCGATGGTGGGACTTGGTTTTACCATGTGGCAATGAGCAACATGCCCCTCGAATCTCAGATCGTTAACCCGAAGACAACTATCCATACCCCGTGCAGCAAACTGCAGACGTTGCCTCAGCTCCAGTTCCTCAGGTGTTCCTCTATATGGCTTATGGCTCAACACCGCGCATAATCCCTGAAACTTTGGCCAAGCCACTCAAGCTGGACCATTCCACAAGTATTTCCACGGAGCGGTCGCGGTTTGTAGAACCGGACCCCATTGGCCCAATTGGCCCTTGCTCAAGGTGGTGGAGGGAACCTACCGACGCCTTGGGAGGATTCAGGCGCACCAGCGCCGGCTGGCGACTGCCTGGACGGTCTGCCGGCATCAGGGAGTTCAGCAGCATTAAGGGCAAGTTGAGAGTTCAGCAACTTTGCAGTTGTCACACTTAGAGCTTCAGGTCATGGAGGGGAAAGGGGGATGCCGGGGATTTTCCCCCTCACGGCCCCCCCTGCTGTGACACCGTCGCCCCAACCTTCACCAGCACAAGCACAAGCAGCACCTCCGATTGTAAATTGGCGTACGTAGGGTCCCCTGTGCAGCACTTGTTTCAGGGTCATAGCTGAAACCGCCAGGTTCAGGGTACTCTGGATATCTTATCGTGCCCTCAGGATTGTGGTCTTGTTTTCCTTGTGGGCGGTCCGGGAAAATGAGAAATCCAGATTGACGGCGGTGCGGCAGGGCAGGGAGCCGGAACCACGACTGTGCTCGCCTAGGTTTTCGGGGCAGTATTCAACAATTTCAATGAGAGTTGCGGTTTGGATGGCAGGACCGTGAATTTCACACTCTGCAGTGGGCTGGCTCTCACAGGTTCCATTAGTGCCTCTTCGCCCGAATTGAGCCCCTGAGTGTCTTATTCATTTATTCTTACACAGTGTTGGCGCTGTAGTAACAGTATGGCACCACATTCTGAGTGCCCAGGTTCAGTATCAGGTGGTCACTGCCCTCAGCCGAGCAAATACGCTGAGTGAGGCTCGGATCGGGTTGATGGACATACATCATTACACCAATACCTAGCTATTCGCCTTCTCGACATGCAGTCACTCGAGGCCTAATTATATAGGGACATCAGTGGTGTTCGATTCAATGCCGGCTCTGCTCTCGAACACCTTGATGCCCTCCGAACGATCCATGCTTGCTCTGTCGTTTCGTTTCTGCTTCTAGCTACAGTACTGCCTTCAACATCCTTCGATAAGCTTGCCTTCAAACGCCCAGACCCGGTTGCCACAGAACATGACCTTGTCCTGGGCATGATGCTCTAAAGTGGATTGACGCCAAGATCCTTCTGCAGCCAGCAAATCGGTGATAATGGGGGCTTGCTTTTTTGTTAACTTCCGCGGGCAGGCAGTGGCTGACATTGGGCAGGACCTGGCCAGCTTCCAGGTCCGTCCGCGGAGTAAGTCGAAGTCAAAGCGCGAACTGGAGCTTCAGCTTCAGAACTGCAGGAACTGGCTTGAAGATCAGAGTTTTTCCCGGCACCATGGCTTCTGCCAAAGTCCGGACTTCTGGACTGTCGAGGCCATTCTTGCCAGTGCCTTCTCTGCCGCCGGTGTGGACGACAGCTCCCTAATGCTGAACAGCTTCGGGGCCGTGTCGATGCAGGCCGGACTGCGAAATAGGAATCATCTCAGCGCGTGAAGGATGTTTTGGAGCATGGTTTCGACTCTGCCGCCTCGGCTCGAAGACGCGCGCAACCGTCCAAGCCTATCACAAACCGGAAGCCCAGCGCTCTACCTTCAGCCCCCTTTGGCGACGATCTTAACATCACGCAGGTGCAGGCTCGTTCGGACGACTCCCAGATCGAAGCCCCTTGGGCCTAGTTTTGTTGTGGGCTGCGCGAGCGTTAGGGCATTCGGGTGCTAGTGGTGTTCGGGTAGGGGCTGTTGAAATGACTTGCACGGGATGCCAACGTCCGATTTTGTGGCAGTTGCTGTGTCTGCGGACGAAGCATGTGATGACGATGACGACGGCGAAAATGACATGGACAAAGTGACAAAGTGGTATGAAGCTGAAGCTGAGCCGTGGCAACGGTGGTGCTGGTGCTGGTGCTGGTGCTAGTGGTGCTGTTGGTGGCCGCGGTATTTGCAATGATAAGTTGGATAGGAAGTGTGACGATTCGGATCGTGCAATGGGCAAAATTAATGATGCTGATGATCACGCGATGATGCTGCTGCTGATGGTGATGACATCAATTGTTGATGAGAGTGGTGAATATTCTGTTGCAAATATTATCATGTTGGTGAAGCTGAGCATGGCTATGCGTATAATCAGCAATGGTGGTAGTGGCATTGATGTGATGCTGGGGATAATGATCATGATGATGACCCTGTCGATGCAAAAAGATGTCGGCTTCTTTTGCCCGCTGGCGTTTTTGCTGCAGCTGTTGCTCCCTGTCTACCAGGATCCGGACACGTCGGACCCGAATGTCACAGTGGAGGCAAGTAATGCTACTGCCGCACGGAAGCATATGCACTTGTTCATTGATCCACCCAAATGTCTAAATCTCGTTCAGCCTTCTGTTTGTTTGAGTCTTTTCCATGCTGGTAGGTTCAGATTTGGCGCGATCTTATAGAAGCTTAGCACAGCTGTTTCATGCTGAGACTCCAAACCTTGCAACGAGTGCAGAGGATGACTCCGACGACCTCAGGCGACTCCTGGCCTCTCGGGTCAGCATCTTAAGGGAACCCTCACATTAGGATAGCACGAACCTCAAGATTTTTACAGTCGGGTCGGTTCCCCGAGCTTGTCCGCACCAAGTGCTCACTGATGGTCCTGGGCGCAAAGTAGTCCAACTCGATTTCCAGCTTTGATCGCCAGCCCTTGCCTAACTCCGTGCTCAGTTTGCCCTCCTCCTCATCCTCCTCTGTTTGCTCTTCATCATGGCTTTCGCAAGTACTGAAATCGCAAGTACTGGAACTGCTTTTGATGATGCTCTGGCTGACAGAGTGAAGATATAGACGGGTTGATATGGTGTGGATGCTGTTATTGATGCTGCTGTTGTTGAGGTTGTGTTTGGTAGCTATTGCAGGTCACTCTGTAGCTGTAGATGTGGGTCTAGTAACTAGCAGTGCTAGCCTAGTAGATCAGGCATCGTTCAGGGTGGACATGATGCTTGTTGCTGCTGCAGTTGATTGCTGCTGCCTCCGCGGTTGTGGCCGTGCTTGTTGTCGTCGTCGTCGTTGTTGTTATCGTGGTGCTTCTGGTGACCGTTGTGGTGGTGATCGCCGTCGTTGGTTGGGGGGGGGGGGGGGGG